ACATTAAGTGACGATGATTGTGTACTTGCTATGACTGAAGAGTCTTTATAGTCGTGCAAACAGTATCAACCGCAAATTTTTCTGTTGCTCTCCATCTGTTAAGAGACACCTGTTTATGACGTATTGCGCCCAGCTATATGGCGCTCAGCTATGGAGCTCTGTAAGCTCTGGTGTTTTGTATAAGTGCAGAGTGGCTTATAACAATTGTTTTAGAATCATAATGAACCTGCCTCGGCGTTGCAGCGCGAGTGAAATGTTTGTCTGTAACTATATTGACACTTTTGAAACCAGGAGGAGGAGAATTTGTTATTCTTTTCTAAAAAGGTTATTTTCCTCCAATAACGCAACAATCTGTCGCTTAATTCATTCCGATGCCTTCTACAGGAATTCATTCTTTCGGAAGACCTACCATTTGTTATGCTTTTAGGTTTCTTCCTGTTTTACTTGTATGTCTGTAGTGTTTTTGTATTATTTTAATGATGTATTGTACATGTTATATGGGTTTTTTTACCTGAAATAAAGAATGAATGAGAATGTAACATCTGTGTCCATAATATCACCAGGTTCCATAATATCGCCACCTTGAGAAATAGTGTACTTAAAGATATTTTTACTGCAACATACTTATGGTATGCACTCCTTCACACCTCAAATGTACATACCTAAGGTAAATTGCAGTAAAAATATCTTTAAGCACACATTTCTCAAGGTGGCGATATTATGGACTTTGGTGATATTATAGATAGTAGATACAGATGTTATATATCAATGTCAACTAACAACAAAAAGAATAAGAGTCAACATGCTAAAATAACAACAGCTCACTGGAACACAAATTTTCTATGTTTCATTTTTGGTACTATATATCACCTATAACAGAAGGAATGTTTCCAACAGAACAAAAGAATTATAATATGCCAAAATAAAGGCAATAGTAATCAAAGAAATGAACGATATCATGTTCAAGTAAATGAATGCATACCATCTTAAGGTGATTATCTGTCAAACAAAAAGCGACCCGACTTAAAGATATAAACTAAAAAAAAAATATTTGCAATTACTGATACTAGTGATGGTCTTCTAGTGGGAACGGGTTTTCTGCGCGTGAAGAATTTGCGCGTGAAAAACTTGCGCGTGAAAAATTTGCGCGTGAAAAATAAAAGTCTTAGAAATATGTTAGAAAATATGCAGTACCAAATTCTTAGGCAGGAAAATGTTGTCCTCTGGTATAATTTTCCCTCTGTTAGCCAAAATTTTTGTTTGAAAATGTTGGTCCCTTGGGAATAAGCTAATTTGCATAATTTCCATAAAACCTGACCTTTTGAAAATCACTTGAATTTGTAAGAAATACATGAAAAAGTTACTAGTATGAGGTTTAGGATGGTAAAATGTAACAATCTGAAGCTTTTCTCCATTCTAGAAGTTTGATTTCATGCTTTCTTAAACAAATTCTTTCACGCGCAAATTTCAACCTTTTTTGCGCGTGAAAACTTTACCTTTCAAAATAACCTGAAATCACAAAAAAATGGACAAAACAAGGGTATGTAGTCTAGAATGCAAGCAAAATGATGTTAAATTTTTATTTCTTGTCTTTTTTCCAACTTTTAAGCTTAAAACAGCAAAAAGTTTTCAAATCCCTTGGGAGTCAGCTAATTTGCATATCTTCACGCGCAGATTCTTCACGCGCAAGTTTTTCACGCGCAAGTTTTTCACGCGCAAATTTTTCACGCGCAAAAAACCCCATCTCTCTTCTAGTGAACTCCCTATACTGTTATCATCACATCAAACCTGTAGGCTTTTTCGCCTCCATGCAGTGTCTTTGGTACGTCTTACACACAAAAAAGGTTACTTAGATTGTGCGTCAAATTGGCTTATAACATAACGTGTGGTGCTAAACAGCATCCAAGTCTTTACTCCTGTTGGGTTTCGTCCATGTGAATTTGCTTGTGCCTCTTCAAACTAACCAGGTGACTGAACTGCTTGCCACACTCCTCACACCTGTAGGGTTTCTCACCAGTGTGAGTCCGCATGTGAGTTCTCAGATGATATAGATGACGGAATTGCCTGCCACGCTCCTCACACGTGTAGAGTTTCTCACCTGTGTGAGTCCGCATGTGTTTCTTCAAATGACCCAGCTCTCTAAACTTTCTGTCACACTCCTCACACGTGTAGGGTTTCTCCCCTGTGTGAGTCCGCATGTGTTTCTTTAGACTTCCGAGCTCACTGAACTGCCTGCTGCACCCTTCACACCTGTAGGGTTTCTCACCAGTGTGAGTCCGCATGTGTCTCTTCAGATGACTCAGGTGACTGAACTGCTTGCCGCACTCCTCACACCTGTAGGGTTTCTCACCTGTGTGAGTCCGCATGTGAGTCTTTAGATTTCCAAGCTGTTTAAACTGTCTGCCGCAGGCCTCACACCTGTAGGGTTTCTCACCTGTGTGAGTCCGCAAGTGTCTCTTCAGATTTCCAAGCTCACTAAATTGCCTGCTGCATTCCTTACATTTGTAGGGTTTTTCTCCGGTGTGAGTCCGCAGGTGTGTCTTCAAAAGACTAAGACAACTGAATTGCTTGGCACACTCCTCACACCTGAACACTTTCTCACGTTTGTTCCTGCCTCCCGGTTTTCTCTCCAGACTCCTTAAAGCTTTCTTCTTGCCAGGTGGGAACGGTGTTGGCAGAACCCCCCTCCTGATCCTCCTTGCCAGGTGGAAACGGTGTTGGCAGAAACCCTTGCGGGTCCTCCAAGCCAGGTGGAAACCCCCTGCTGACCCTCTCATAACGCCATCCAAACCTTCTATGCTGCCTGTTGTTGCCATGTCTACGAGAGCTGGATCAACCTCTGTAAAACAATGAAACAAGCGATATCGATCTTTAAAACCTATAATATAATACATGCTAAAATATGTAAAGTTGACTAGAAGTATAGCATAGTACTATATCGTATAGGGCATGCAAACAAATGCTCATCCTCCGTAAAAGTTACTATAAAAACAACTATCAAAAATTCAAAGATGTAACAGTTGACATGGCTGAGGCACCAAAAAAGATGGGCAAATAGTGAGGTGTCTAAAGTTACTAATGGTACTGATGCTATGCAGGGTCTTTGAAAGTAACATTGCAACAGTTAGTGAACTGTCCCCTGGCCTGCATACTTTAATTCATGCAATGGATGTGGGCTTCGACTTATTTTTCACGTGTTTGTAGGCGTTCGTTTTGTATATTTTTGCCACCCATACTTCAGTTGCGTATGGATACTCAACTGCCAATAATAATATTGTCGTGCCGATATAATATATACATTTGTAGTAAATGTTTTTCTTCGTTTCGCTAAGAGATTTAAAGTTAATCACAGCCTCCAATCATTAATGAACCGTCCCGTTGTTTTCACACTCTCCCGTCTGGCGTCAGGGCGGGATGGAATCCAGATGTGAGAAATAAACGGGGCTCACGTACGGGTTTCCAGTATACTCACGATTAGCTTAGTCTTAGATTTACGCTTTCTTCATCACCAACACCAGAACCCCTTTATAACAGTGAACTTTTTTCGGTCTGTAAACTTGCAAACTGGATTGCAGGAATATTTATACTAATTTTAATGCGACACACAACATAATCTTGCAACCCCCTCACCGACCCTAACTCTCTGTTTACGTTATAAATTCCAGGCGGCAGCTGCTAACTTCCATGAACAATAATTTGAGAGCCAAACATTCAAACGGACAATACAGAAATTTCACAGACAATTCCATATCCACACTACGACACTTCTTTGGACAGCTGCACCGAAACAGGGAGCTTTGAGTACTAGTTTTTGACGCTCCATGACTGAATTATAAACAGCACGGCCCAGATCACACGCACACTGGCCCAAACGCACGCCGCCACACAAATATTATGAACCGTTGTTTGCCAACTCTACAAACCCCTGAATACCAACTACATGCCGACTTTTCCTACCTGGAAGTTAGTAGATACACAGTCCGGGCCGAGTCGCCTGTTGAGTCGCTGCAAAACTCCTCCAAAGACGGAAAACTGCTCAAGATGCCGCGTCCTTGCGGGACAGGAAGGCGCGATGCCGTGACCCGGAAGTACAACACCGGCCAGAGGTCAAGTGTTCCAGTTTCGTTACCTGATTACCCAACAAATGTATGGGATTTCGAGCAAAGGCTAGTATTATTATAGTAGTAATCGGGAATAATTTGACAGCAAAAAAGTCTTTAGACGACACCGATCTATGTTTTATGTCTTGGAAATAGTGTTGGAAAATATATAATATTCATAGGGTCATCTACCGTCTAGATTGTCGATTTTGTTCATACATGTAATATGAAGACTCTCAAAAAAGGCTAGGGTCTAACGTTTTTCTGGGGTTTGTCGGGAAACAGGAAACACAATATTTTTTTGTAAAGTCCACTTGCTGTGACGTCATGGCAATCAGTGGTAATAGCCCAGACCCTGATACTTTTAATCTACGAATGACCTCAAAAATAAAATACTATATACTTTGTTGAAAGTAGAGTAGTAAAAAGATATAATTCAGTAAATAGAAAATATGGGCACACACTTTGTCAAAAAAACTTTAATAAGAAAACGAAACTAGTACAGTCATACAAACCTAACTTCAAACTCAAGTGCACAATCACTTCCCGATGTTAGTTACTGATTATGCACAATAGATACTATCAAATTTAATGCGATAAAAATAACAACAAAACAACTAAGTACGGCTAACCCAACCGAACAACCAAAAAGGACCTAAGAGAACAATACCGTAAGTGCTGTACAGCATAGTAAGACGAATTAAAGAAAAAACAAAGGCTTTAGCATACGCTGCATGTTAGTAAACGTCTTTTAGAACTACATATTTTGTAACCGCTTTACAAATACATATAACTAAAATAAAGAGTCAACATGCTAAATATTACAAAATAAACTGTAAATCCTTTAATTGGAATATCAATTTTCCAGTTGGATCTCTCGTAATATTCATTCTACCATGACTAAGGACACTGTGTAAATATATCATGTATAACTAGGGCCATAGGGGGATGTTTGCAAAAGAAAGGGATTGTCGAAATAAACAAGGAGATTAACTAAACCAACAATTTTTGATGACTTGATAGTAAACTCTTTACAGATATACTTTCTTACTTGCATGCACACGAGTTTCCACCAAAGAGATTTTCAAATTGTGGCGCTAAACAGTCTTCACTCCTGTAGGGTTTCTTCGCTGTGAGTTTGCTTGTGCTTCTTCAAATCTCTCAGCTGACTGAACTGCCTGTCACACTCTCCACACATGTAGGGTTTCTCACCAGTGTGAATCCGTATGTGAGTCTTTAGATCACCCAGCTGACAAAACTGCCTGCTGCACTCCTCACACCTGTAGGGCTTCTCCCCTGTGTGAGTCCGCATATGTTTCTTCAGAGTTCCAAGCTCACTAAACTGCCTGCCACACTCCTCACACCTGTAGGGTTTCTCACCTGTGTGAGTCCGCACGTGTCTCTTCAGATTACCCAGCTGACTGAACTGTCTGTTGCATTCCCCACACATGTAGGGTTTCTCCCCTGTGTGAGTCCGCATGTGAGTCGTCAAATTTTCCACCTTACTAAACTGCTTGCTGCACTCCCCACACATGTAGGGTTTCTCCCCAGTGTGAGTCCGCATGTGTCTCTCCAGATGACTAAGACGACCAAACTGCTTGCCACATTCTTCACACCTGAACACTTTCACATCTTTGTCCTGCCTCCCGGTTTCCTCTCCAGACTCCTCACAGCTTTCTTCTTGCCAGGTGGAAACGGTGTTGGCAGAACCCCCTGCTGATCCTTTCATGACGTCATCCAAACCTTCTATGCTGCCTGTTGTTGCCATGTCTACGAGAGCTGGATCAACCTCTGTAAAACAATGAAACAAGCGATCTTTAAAACATATAATATAATACATGCTAAAATATGTAAAGTTGACTAGAAGTATAGCATAGTACTATATCGTATAGGGCATGCAAACAAATGCTCATCCTCCGTAAAAGTTACTTTAAAAACAACTATCAAAGATTCAAAGATGTAACAGTTGACATGGCTGAGGCACCAAAAAATATGTGTGAGGTGTCTAAAGTTACAAATGGTACTGATGCTACGCAGGGTCTTTGAAAGTAACATTGCAACAGTTAGTGAACTGTCCCATGGCCGTCATACTTTTCGTGCAAGGGTCTGGGATTCGGCTTATTTTTGACGTGCTTGGAGGCGTTCGTTTCGTATATTTTTGCCACCCATACATAAGTTGCGTATGTACACTTAACTGCCAATAATACTGTCGTGCAAATTTAATATAGCAAATGTTTTTCTGTGTTTCGCTAAGAGATTTAAAAGTTCATCACAGCCTCCCATCATTAATGAACCGTCCCGTTGTTTTCACACTCTCCCGTCTGGCGTCAGGGCGGAATCCAGACATGCCAGATGTGAGAATTTGTCGGGGCTCACGTAGGGGTTTACATTAAAGTTAGGATTGGTCTTAGATTTAATTCCTCATCACCAACACCAGAATCCCTTCATAACAGTGAATACCACTTTAAGTCTGTAAAATTGCACACTGGATTGCAGGAATACTTTTGCTTATTTTTAATGCGACACACGACATAATCTCGTAACCCCCTATCGACTCTCACTCTCTGTTTACGTTTTCAAATTCCAGGCGGCAGCTGCTAACTTCCATAAACAATGATTTGAGAGGCAAACATTCAAACGTAGAATCCAGAAATTTCTCTGACAATTCCACATCCACACTACGACACTTCTTTGGACAGCTGCACCGAAACAGGGAGCTAGTTTTTGACGCTCCTTGACTGAATTATAAACAGCACGGCCCAGATCACACTCACACTGGCCCAAACGCACGCCGTCACAAATATTATGAACCGTTGTTTGCCAACTCTACAAACCTCTGAATACCAACTACATGCCGACTTTTCCTACCTGGAAGTTAGTTGATACACAGTCCGGGCCGAGTCGCCTGTTGAATCGCTGCAAAACTCCTCCAAAGACGGAAAACTGCTCAAGATGCCGTGTCTAGTGGGACAGGAAGTAGCGAAGCCGTGACCCGGAAGTACTACCCCGGTCAGAGGTCACATCTCGTTACCTGATTACCCAAGAAGTGTACACGGGCCTTGGAGCAAAGGTTAGTAATCGGGAATAATTTGTGACAGAAAAAAAGTAATTAATAGTCACCGACCAATTTTTTTCACTGCTTTTTTATGTTATGGAAAATATATTTTCACAGGGTAATCTACCTTCTAGCTTGTCGATTTAGTTCATAATATGAAGACGTTTAAAAAAAGGCTAGGGTCGGACGTTTTTTCTAGAGTCGGTCGGGAAACAGGAAACACAATATTTGTTTGCAGGCGCCGGCCCACTTGCTACGACGTCATGGCAGCCAGTTGTATTGATAGCTCAGACCCTGATACTTCCAATCTACGAATGACTATCCTCTAAAATAAAATACAAAACACTGAGTTGAAAGTAGAGTAGTAAAAGGATATAATTCAGTAAATAAAAAAATATGGGCACACGTACACTTTGTCAAGAAAACTTCAACTGGAAAACTAGCACATTCATACAAACATAACACTAACTCAAGTGTACAATCACTTCCCGATGTTAGTTACTGATTATGCACAATAGATACTAGTGGATCGAATTTAATGCGATAAAAATAACAACAAAACAACTAAGTACGGCTAACCCAACCGAACAACCAAAAAGGACCTAAGATAACAATACTGTAAGTGCTGTACAACATTTAAAGACCAAATACAGAAGAAACAAAGGCTTAAGAATTAACTGCATGTTAGTTAACTTCTCTCAAAACTAAATATTTTGTAACGGCTTTAAAAGTAAACAGAAATGTTAACTATCAGGAAAAGATAAATAGTGAACATGCTAAAAATAACACAACAAAATAGATCCGTTGAACTCTTATTTTCTAAGATATGGTACTTAAATCTACAATGACTAAGGAAACTGTGCAATATATATCACTTATAACAAAAGG